AACTGCAAGCTAACCAGTGTTTTCAGAAAGCAAGCGCGTTTATCCACAGTGGAGAGAGAGCGCGTGAGCACATGGTTGCCAGGTTGACAAAGATAAGTAGCAGGTTTAGCAGATATTTCCGTATTGCGCAAGTGTAAAGCTCTGTTTTGGGGATTACGTCTCTTTATATCAGGCAACCCCGTTGTGTTCCTCTGCGGTTAGGATTATTAACAGATGCTCTATTCATTCTTTTTTTTTAGAAACCTTGCACTTTTCTACTAAATTTTAAACGTTGTAAAATTAAGCGTGGTCCACTGCTGCACACGTGCCACAGTATCGATACAGGGCCAGCTGTATCGATACTCGTATCGTCAAATCTCTGTGACGATACATCGTCGTATCAATATTTTGAACACAGCACTAGTGTCTGCATGTTGGTTGCACCACATGACCCTGATATTGCAGGCAAATGTTTTTTCAAATATTAATAAGCAGTGAAGCCATTGTTTTTGTAAGAAATAGTAATAAAATATTATGCTAAACTACCAAGTTTGTTTAATAATATAAATGAATGGTGTTTTAATGGTATTTTCTTTATAATAAGGACAGTTGTCAGCTTTTTTTTACGTTTATGCCACCTCCCCACACCCCAATAAAAATGTCAAAATTAATTTTTAATTCAGAAATTAAAAGCATTCTCATCCTGTAAGAGGTATATTCAAGTCATTGTACGTATGTGTTTTCATTTTTATGTATGCATTTATGTCCAGTATGCACTCATTTATTTATTTATTGCTATTTCTATATTTTGCTTATCAATTTATCTTTTTACTTATTTTTTAAATGAATCAATAGATCCAGACACACACACACAAAATGAACGTCTTGACAGAATATTCATTTTGGGTGAACTATCCTTTTAAGATCCTCTCTAATCTTTTCTCATCTCAACAGATTTCTACAAGAGACGGCATTAGGTGCCCATAGTTTCAAAGCACACAGGCACTAATCTAAATTCATGATTATTTCTTCACTCATCAAGGCTCTTGTTTATTTAGCTTGATTCTTTTTATTCACACAGAGGCATTAGGTAAACAAATGATCTCGCGTTCACCAGGACAAAGCCTGCTGTATGTGACGAGTGCTCATACAATGAGATCGCTCGTACCTCGTGACTGACATCACCTGCCTTTGCTCAGTCTGCATTTATTTATTTATTGCTATTTCTATATTTTGCTTATCAATTTATCTTTTTACTTATTTTTGAAATGAATCAATAGATCCAGACACACACACACACACACACACACACACACACACAAAATGAACATCTTGACAGAATATTCATTTTGGGTGAACTATCCTTTTAAGATCCTCTCTAATCTTTTCTCATCTCAACAGATTTCTACAAGAGACGGCATTAGGTGCCCATAGTTTCAAAGCACACAGGCACTAATCTAAATTCATGATTATTTCTTCACTCATCAAGGCTCTTGTTTATTTAGCTTGATTCTTTTTATTCACACAGAGGCATTAGGTAAACAAATGATCTCGCGTTCACCAGGACAAAGCCTGCTGTATGTGACGAGTGCTCATACAATGAGATCGCTCGTACCTCGTGACTGACATCACCTGCCTTTGCTCAGTCTTCTGCTCTCCCTCTCATCAGGCTATTGTCTTCCTCTCACAGTTGATCAGCATCTTAATGGTTTTCTGTTGTTTACGCCTGTATGTGGATCCCCGTCCAAACAGAGCTCTCATTAATGAATCTAGGCTGGGTGAAGTGCGAATCAAAGAGGATGATCAAAGGTCACCCGAGCTATGGAGGCCCTGAAGCCCCTGCACCTGTGGGCAGCGTCACATGATTTTCATACTCTCTGGCGCCCCTGCACTACCTATGAAGTCACTGCGGAGCCGATCGGCCTTAATTTGGCCTTTTGTTTCAACACAATTTTTCTTCAACCCCCTGCAATTTTCTCCCAACCCCTGGTTGTCATCTATACATCTTTCTATATTTACAGCGGTAGTTAACTGCTAGGTAACCGGTATCCCGGCAACATCGGAATGCTTTCTGATCCTTGACCAGCGAGTGCAGGTTTCACTCTGGTCTTTTTCTATGTGAAGTGGCCATTGCCCTTTTCGTATGAGCACCTACATGGTTTTCAGGGCAAGGAGAGCGATAATGACATGCAGTGGCTTGTTTATTCCCTTTGAAAGTCTTTCAAATGGAATTCCCCGTCAGCCACTGGAAGTGAAAGTCATTTTGCACTGTGTCAACATGCTCGTGTTTGAGTATCGTAACATTTAATGGACATGGTCTTTTCTCTTTGTTTTTCCTTCTCTTCCTTCTCTCCCGCTCTCCAGACTGTTCAGTTTGTCCAAGGGATCTTTGTGGAAAAGTATGACCCCACAATAGAAGACTCATACAGAAAGGCAAGTTCTGCATCATTTTTATTGTGCATAAGTTGTCAAACCAATGTCTTTTTAATGGTTTCCAGACTCAAAACCCAATGTATTGTTTTCTGACCTTTTCCTAGCCCAGCACATTCTGTACAGTAACACATGAAATGGACTTATCCAAATATAGTCTGTATATATTTTTTGTAGGACCCATACTGCTTTTATAATCGAGTGAATTCAATACCTCATATCATTTATTCGGACTGAAAAAAGTAAAGAAGTACTAGAGACTATGATTTGACATCTCACATTTGCTACCTCTTATATCTCGCAATGTGTAAATGTTTTCGGTTACGACAAATAGTCATTTTATATCCCACAATTGCAATTGTGACATTATACTCTGTGACTTTATATCTAGGTGCGGTCACATTATTGAAGTTTCTGCAAAATTTCACAGACAAAAAAAGATCCGTTGTCTATAGTTAATATTGCAATGCTGTTTAAAGCACAGCTCACACAGAGGTAGTTTTAAACCAAGCAGTTTTCTGTTGGTCAACGCGGCAACCAACTTGAGCCAGTTATGAAACCTACGTGGGAAAACCTTCACATTAAATAAATAGCAATATACAGCTGCACACCAGTTCAATTCTGTATTTATGTCCCAAATTGTTAAACAACCTACAGTTACACAAGACCCAAATGGTGCAGCGCTTTGCAGGAAAACTAAATGGCTCCCATTATAATCAATGAAGCGGTCTATAATCAATGAACTGGAAACGCCCATCTGTGACACAGTCTGCTGTGTATAATATAGATTTCTGCTTATGTCAGATTTTTTAAAAATTGCAGTGCGGGTATATCATGACAGAATCTCTATCAGTTGACACATTTCTACAGGATGCACACCGTCCCGCCCCAATAGCACACGTCAAAGAAAAAGCTGTGTGTGCATTTGTGGGATGTCTTATCGACCCTGCGCTCAGACTGCTGTGACACTGCTCCAAAGCCTTGAGACAAAGGCCGTGTCTAAAAATGAACCTTCACTCAAACAGTAAAAGGAAGCCCCATCTTGACCAGCACCTCCCTTCCTCGCTGTTGCTTACGCTGCTGTCCCATGAGCACCTCCTGTAGGCGAGGCTTACTTATGACATACAGTGCCACATGTTATTAGTGCAGATTTTATTCCCTGCTTATACAGAGGCCCCATATATATTTGATCATTTTTAAATGCTTAAGTTGCACTTAATATTGAATTTCACTTACATTTTTTACATATTGCTTATGTGTTCAAATACTTTCTGGGTCCCACTGTATGCAAACTGGAGAACCATTATTTTTATAATTAGAAAAAATCTGTACATGAAAGCACATATAACCATTTTGATACTCATATGATGTCACAAAAATGAAGGTAAAATGGTGTTGCAGTCTGAACGTGTCATAGTCTTTGTGCCATAAAGGCTGTTTTTTGATGCCAGTCAGTTTGTTGTTGATTTTCTGTTGTTTCTCTGTCTTTGCAGCAAGTGGAGGTGGATGGACAGCAGTGTATGTTGGAAATTCTGGATACTGCCGGAACGGTAAGACCGTTTGTGATCAGAACTTTGTTTAATAACTTACGGATTACAATAATTCATGCATCTATGTATTTTAAAGATTCAATGGTTTTTCCAAGTCAGTCATGTTATTACATGCAACTGGTGTTTAAATGTCCCCTGACGTCACAGCCAAGATAAAATCTTGTATGGTAGTTGCCAGCATCAGTCATCCGTGTTAACTTCTAACCATCAACCTGGAGATTAAATGGATGGTTTGAATTCAATGGCATTAAAACCTTAGAAGTAACAAATCGGGCGTTCAAAAAACATTTTCAAATCAGATTTTTTTTTTGTTGTTGTTGGAAATTTCTCACAATGTAAATCAATCACATTTGTTGAGCAGAGAGCTGTGCTGATTGTGTGTCTTGACCGTAGCACAGCTAAGTGTGTTGCATTTGCCCCCGGTCTCCCCCTACTGTAAGTTAAATGATGCATGTGCAGCCTCGTGGTCATCCTCGTCTCATATAGGTGCAGGAGGTTAGAGAGCGATTTCACCCCCTATGGGGGATAAGGACATATTTCCAGTTCCACAAGCCCCTGTTTTACAACTCTGAGTTGTGGTGACAGATGGTGAATGTTGTCCTTGGGCTCTCTGCCCCAGAATGGAGCCACGGTCAAATGAAACGGAGCCAAAAAAGCTGAGAATATTCCTGTCAGAGTTGTGAACTACAAATTGGCTACAGTTTTTGTACAGTAGGACTGGCACTTGCTCTGAAATGGTCAATGTATTATTCAATCTAGTGCTAGGAGACTCCGAAACAATCTTAATTGAATCCTGAAACTGGGTGAGTTGAAACCACAAAGTCAATGACTTGTGTAATGTTGAACAAACTGCAAATGGCATACACAAGTACGTCTGTTAAAGGGATAGATCAAATGAACATTCATTCACCTTCATATTGTTCTGAGCCTATATGGCTTTGTTTAATCTATGGAACACAAAAGCAGATGTTTCAAAGAATGTTTATGCTGCTCTTTTTCTTGTAATCAAAGTCAATTGAGACCAGCAGCTTTCGATTTCCAAAAAGGATCAAAACATCCTTAAAATATCTTCATGGAAGAAAGAAAGACTATGCGATTCTTTGAGTTTGTTTGTGTAGATTTCTCCCCCACAGATCCTGAGCTCGTGCCCACTCACTAGCACGTTTAATGAGACACTGTTGTGTCCTCTGGAGAGAAAAATCATTATTTCTCCTCCATAGCCTTCCTTTACTAGACATATCACACGTTACCTTTGACAGCCATCTTCATTCTCCACGGGTTTTAGAAGCTCTGACCACATTCAACACACTACTATACAAAGTTATACTACGGATGTGCTCTGGCCTTATTAACTTCACAACTTATCAGTTCACTTGACGTTCAGCTCATGCAGGACAAGAACTGTCTATCTGAGCCAAAGTTCATTCAGAACCACAAAAAAAAACTTTAATGTGAAAATGTGTTACGATTTAAAATAACTGATTTCTTTTTGTAATGTTTTTAATATTTAATATATGTAATTTATTCCTCTGATGGCAAAGCTGGATTTTCAGCAGTCATTACCCCAGTCTTCAGTGTCACATGATCCTTCAGAAATCATTCTAATATGCTGATTTGTTGCTCAAGAAAGATTTATTTTTATTAGTGCTGTCAAATGATTAATCGCATCCAAAATAAGTTTTTGTTTACATAATATATGTGTGTGTGTACTGTGTATATTTATGTATATATAAATGCACACACATACAGTATATATTTTGAAAATATGTACATGTATTTATATGTATATATTTATATTATTTATATTACAGATAAATATATTTAATATATAAACATAACATATTTTTCTTAAATATATACATGCATGTGTGTGTATTTATATAGACATAATATACACAGTACACACACATATTATGTAAATAAACTTTTATTTTGGATGTGATTAATCGTTTGACAGCACTAATTTTTATTATCAATATTGAAAACAGTTGTGCTGCTTAATATTTTGTGGAAACTGTTTGTTGATAAATAGTAAAAGTTTGAAAGAATAGCATCTATTTGAAATGGAAATATTTTGGGATATTATAAATGTCTTTGATGTTGCTTTTGATCAGTTTAAGTCCTTGCTGAATAAAAGTATTAATTTCTTTAAAAAAAAAAAACACTTATAACTACAATAAAACAGTAGTTTTTGTATCTGTTAGTATCATATGGGTTATTTCATGTTTGGACAGTGCTCTGTGCTCACTATGAATGTTTTGAAGCGTTGGTACTTCAACTCCTCCATACGCTATCTGAACACTTCTCTTCCTCACTTCACCTCCTCTTTCTCTCCCACTCAGGAACAATTCACAGCCATGAGGGACCTGTACATGAAGAACGGCCAGGGCTTTGCACTAGTATACTCCATAACAGCACAGTCCACCTTCAATGATCTGCAGGACTTGAGAGAACAGATTCTGCGGGTCAAAGACACGGATGATGTGAGTCTTGTCCAGCACTCCATTTCATCTACAGAATCTCAAACTGTCTGCTGCCCTACCTTTAGCTTTCATCTCACCCTGTGCTTTGATAGTTTCAGTGCCAGTATCTCCTTTTTCACACCCACCCTGAGCCCTCATGCTTGCCATCGTCAATGAAGGTGACCTTTCAGCTGTGAAGAGGCTCGTCTTTGTTGACATAAGAGCAGAGTTTTTCTCTTTTTGTCCACCTCTCTCTGTTTGATAGTTCTGGTTGGGCAAGCAAACAATTTGGTTGCTGAGTTTACTTAATGTTTATTTTGATTGCAGAAATGTTATCGCTGGAGGTCGCTAATAGGCATAATGAACGATAATGTTTTTTTTTGTTTTTTTTAAATAACTATGTGAGAAGCTCCCTTAAGATATAGTGTCTTTTGTCACCTTTTGTCAATTGCGGCCAAGTTTGTTGAGAGGAAATGTGTGTGCGCGTGTGTGTGTGTGTGCGTGCGTGCGCGTGCGCGTGCGTGTGTGCGTGTGTGCGCGTGCGTGTGTGTGCGTGCGTGCGTGCGTGCGTGTGTGTGTGTGTGTGTAAGAACTCATTCTAAACGGTTTCTGAGAAAGATGATAGTGTGACGACCTCAGTTGACCCGCACTATTTCGGTCCACTTCCTCAGCTCAGCTGATTTGACACAGGACGTTTCAGTTATTTATTCTGCCTGGGCTACTTGCTTTGGTTTTTATCGTTTATGCAATATGTCAGTTTCCTTGTTGGTTTGAAAGTATCTGCTGAAAATAAATGCAAATGCTGTGTCTCATAGTTTCACTTCTGCTATGATATCTGGACTCTCGGTTGATAAACTGAGAGTTGTGTGGGAGTTTTTAGCTGCGTTTATGGAGTTGTGTGCAAATATGAATGCATCTAGAGCCTCAAAATGACCAAAGGGATTTCGTCCATCTCTTTTTTTTCCCCCCCTCTTTTAACCTCTTTTTTGCAGTATCTTTTTCAGTTAAGGAATTACAACAACTATGGCCCCCTAAGAATGATTTCTGTTTTCTAATATAGCAACTCTAAATAGCTCCCTAGATGAAAAACGAATAGAGATGCATGGAAAAGATGACAATGTAAATTTATATTTTAACTGTTGTGTTTTTTACCCTATTATAATCTAATCAGTTACTTTATTACTTCTAGTTGTGTGCTGATGGATTGTCACTTCTTCTCAAACAGACAATGACTTTTTTTGTTCTGATCCCGAAACTATTGTATTATCACTTGATTTCTATAAGGCATCCTTAAATGACTCCTTTAAATCTGAAAACTCAATGGAAGTGTTTCCTTTCAGGTGCCAATGATCCTGGTGGGTAATAAGTGTGATCTGGAAGACGAGAGGGTGGTTGGGAAGGAACAGGGCCAGAATCTCGCCCGACAGTGGAACAGCTGTGCTTTCCTGGAGTCCTCTGCAAAGTCCAAGATTAACGTCAATGAGGTGAGCATGACTTTATGCTACAAAAAGTCACAAATCTCATGTTAAAGCAGAGTTTTTACAATGTAAGACCCTATTCAAGGACTTATTTATAAGAATACATGGCTACTTTTAAATTGACTTTTAAATAGTGAAAATTGTTTATACACCAATTTTTTTTTCTTTCCGCTACACCATTTACAAACATTCTCTAAGGAAAATTCTTGGAAATTTCACAATTAATTACAAAGAAATGGCAACACATTGAATTAAACGTGACGTTTGACGTTGAAATAGAATTTGCTGGTAAAACATACTCCAATCTTTGTTTTTATCATAACTTCAAAAAATGCTTTTTTACATTGTGCGGCATCTACCAGCAGGGGCAGTTTTTTATATTAAAATATCATATAAGAATAATTTCTGTATAAACTAACATTTGTATAAAAAAATCTCTAACCTTAAAAAAAAAATTATTATTATTTTTATTAAAATCTTTTAAAATTAATTTGAATTTATAATTAGAATTTAATAATTGAATGTAAAAAATGAAATTAAATAAACATTTATTTTGCACAGTTTTATATTTTAGTTTAAACTTGTTTATTTATTTTTGTTACCATAATCACTGAACACACAGATCTGTTTTAGTGCAGAATACTCTTATATACGTTTTTGCATTATTGCTGTCTTAATATTTAAATCTGGGAATTGAGAGGTGAATCTAGAGTGGTGTTTTTTTTTTTATCTTAGGTAAAGTTACATTCACGAGGCTGTGTATGGGCATTATCTTTTCCCTAGTCTTCTCAGTTGGGGTCAGGCTTCGGTTGTCTTCTGACATGCCTGTGCTGGCGTCACCATGAAGCTGCTCTTCTCTGCTGAGGTCTCAGAACAGTGTCATTGTCAGCTAGTGATATCTCTCCAAGAAAGCGTAGTCAAACATTAGCAACGCAGGCAGTCAGCTGCAACAGTCGGACACAGAGCTTCCTTTTGTGAGCAGCACGACTCTGCCTACATGACATAGAGCTGCTTTGAGTTCAGTCAGTTAGAAAATCCAGTTGGTTATAGCGGAATGACTGGTATGACGGTGTTCACTTACTTCTCCTTACAAGCTGAGTGATATGAAACCCCTGTACTAGTCTGGAGTCAGTCTTGTAGTTTATTACAGGTTATACTGGAGGGCAGAAGGTGATGATTTGAAGTCTTTATCACGCTTGGGCATTGCTCCAGGATTATTCATTTACTTGTGTCAAAGCGCAGACCTGCGTCATCATTAAAGTCTCAGACTCTCCCGTAAGCGAAATCCAGATACTGATTTAATGGATCTTCGGTTGGAGCTCTCTCAATAAGATAATGAGGAACTTCAGTTGCGAGTGACCACAGTGGAAGTGATTTATCACTCTCAGCTAATGCAGCCAGAGTGATTTACTTTTCTCAAGCTATCATGTTTCTTCTCGGTCACAAGATCCAACTGGCGCTTTTTCTTATTTTTGAAGCACAAAATGACTAAAAATCCACTAATAACCACTATACAATTAATAGTAGTATATAGGAAACAACACATCTTTAAATATTTTAGTTCAAAATAACTGATTTGCTTTACTATTCTAAAAAAAAAAAAAAGGAGATCCGTGTGTTCAAAGAGTGATCGTGGTGACTTTTTTAGTAAAATACTACTTTTCACTGATTACTTTAGGTAATTTGATTCACATCTCTTTATTCAGCATGTTCCAGATAGGCTGTTATTCAACAACAGTTGATCCTGTTTTCATTGGTGGATCAAAATGCATTTGAAGTGGTTTAGGCAAGTCCATTTGCTCTGTTAGTCTGCACAAGTTTGCTACTTTGTGCTGATTGTCAAAACCTTTTAATAAGGTGCATCCTGTACTTCTGAATTTGTTTATCTGGCGTTACTGAGATCATCTGTTGTTATGTACAGCAAAGAATGGATTATGAGCTTATCCTTCTCAACTCGCATCCCAAATCTGCCTCTCTACACAACACATGGTAGCAGAAATCTTATTACAAATCCTGCTATATTACCAGTGTTGGTTAACATCAGTAGCAAACATGCCATTGTGTTTCTGTCTGCTACAATAGCTCATCTCTGGTCATTGTGTAAAAGCTGCAGATGTTGTGTGGAACTGATTGATGATGCAGGAGCTGGGTTTTCCCTCTGGGAGCTGAACATCTGTGTGTGGAAGTGTCCACACCTCTGACTGAGTGATTTCTCTCTGTTTTAGTCTAGACTAGAGCAGTAGTACTCGACCCATTTCGGGAGCCAAGTAGACATATTACATTTGTTTGTAAAAGCCACATTTTAAAAACACCATCTGAGTTGGAAGCTTGGTTTTGTTTTCGTTATAATTCTCATTTTATTGCCACAAAGCAGACAACATGTGATGTCCACATATCATTAGACATGCAAATAAAATTAGTATGAAGTTAACTCAGATTGGTTAGTGGGGGTGTGCCATGGTGACTTGACTTATTTTAATAGTGAAAGTTATTACAACTGAAAAGCCAACATGAAAGCTGTTTGTGTTTTACTTCAGGAATGTAACACATTTATGCAGGACAGCCATTGATTTTATCTTTCCATCCATGGGAAATTATTGAAAAATGTGGGTCGTTTAATCATGGTCTCCATATGACAGGTTTATTATTTTGGTTTGGTTTTTTGTGTTTTGCTTTTATTTTATAAATAATTGTTTAAACTGTAAAATTACTTTGCATAATATGCATTGAATAGCACAAATGTCAGTAATTTCATGTTGAAACCGTTATGGAGCTGAAGCGACACTTTAAAGTACAGGTTGACTACCAAACACCTAGACCAGGGGTACCCAACCCTGCTCCTGGCGATTGACTGTCCTGCAAAGTTTAGCTCCAACTCTAATCAAACACACATGCCTTTAATTTTTAAGGGATCCTGAAGACCTTAATTAGTTGCTTCAGGTGTGTTTGATTAGGGTTGGAGCTGAACTTTGCAGGACAGTCGATCGCCAGGAGCAGGGTTGGGCACCCCTTACCTAGACTGTCATCATGAGAAATGGTGAATTCTGAGACTCATCTAGTCTTTTGGCACATGTATGAATTCACTGAAAATTGCTTTTGTTTGTGTGTGTGACTGCAGATCTTCTATGACCTGGTCCGGCAAATCAACAGGAAAACTCCAGTACCTGGAAAGGCACGCAAAAAGTCTACCTGCCAACTGCTCTAATATACAGCTGTTCTTTTGCTCTGAGCCAGGTAGGATCTCAATTATGATTGGCTGAGCAGAAATGATTGACAGCTCATCACAATCAATGTTCTAAAGCCCTTTTTTAGAAGCTTTAGGTTATAGAAACTGTTGAAAAATGGGTTATGTTTAGATCTAAAAGTAATTGCACTTTTATTCCACCCTTTTTTTTTTTCTTCCTGTCTTCTTGCAGGTCTGATTTACTGCTGTCTTTCAGCAGTGCCAGCATTCCGACGTTACTAAAACCTAACATCGAATGGACTTTCCTATGTGGTGATGCCCCTTTAATAAACCAACCAACCAACCAACCGACCGACCGACAACCAACCAATGGATTCAAGGCTACAGTACCATGACAGTTTTTTGCACATAGATAACCATCATCACTTTCCAATGTCGCGAGAAAGAGATTTTTACATATAAATATATAAATATATATTCTAACTGTATGCAACTGAATAAAAAAAATTAAATGAGTAAACGAATACAGAGCTAGACAAAAAGAAAAATACAGAGCCTACACGCAGTGTTATCGCTAACGGAGACAGCCACCGTCGTAAATGTAAGGAGGGAATGTCTAACCAGGCTGTGCACGTTGCCATGGCAATTACAATGATATTTATAAGCACCACTATTTTAGCCAGAGAGGAGAGGAAGTCCAAAGAGCTCCTATATAAACCATTCTTACAGCTAACTTTCACTCCTTTTTTTTTTTTTTTTGATGAATATTTTGTAACTTTGTTTTGCTTTTATTCTAAACATGATTCGTTTATCTTCTGCCTTTTTTCTCTTTTATAAAATGACTAGATTGTTGCTCTATGGAGATGTTATATTCACAACAGCTATTGCTGAGTTTTACCTTAGGAAAAACCTGTGGATACAGTGATGTACATGTAAAAAGTTCAAAAACATACTTTTTTTTTTCTGTCACTATCATTGTCCTTCGCCTCAGATGTTGCCTTCAAATACGTGTTGATACCTTTTTCGTGTCTCTTTTTTTCCTGAGGATTCATTTCCATGATCTTAGGTCCATCTCATACGCCATGCCGGGTTTCTTTGTTTTGTTTACAAAGAACTTTGTACAGCAGGCTTTTTTCAAAAAGGGGTATTAAAAAGAATAAGGGGTTTGACGATTTAGCTTTAGTATCCATCTGAAGTTCATCTTTTGGGGGGTCACACAATAAATAGTCAAATCCCTCTTGACAAAGCTGATCCTGATCAAATGGAGGACATGTATACAGTATATTTTAAAGAATTGTTGTTTTTTTTAATACACAGGAACAACAAAATGTACAACAAACTATCTGCCCTTCTCCCCTAGCTTGCTGATGCATCTGGTGTAAACTGAGGATATGAAAACCAAATATTGGATCCTGTCAGTAAAGAGTGAGGAAAAGATGGCTGTTAGTGACTGTTTTGACTTTGTAATAATTTGCCCTGTTTTCTGTCTTCGTTACTGTTGGATTAACTGAATGTGGGGGTGTGGGGACTTTGTGTTGAGCGAGAAAAACATGGGAAGAATTGATTAAAAGAATTAATTGTACATCAAGTGTAATCAAAGCGTGTTCATAAAGCTGCCGAATGCGCTCTGTAAAGCAGTTGTAGCATTCGATACTGGTCTCTTTAAACATCGAAATGACTCTTTACAGGGTGCAGCATGCGGTATGTACACATAATGAATTGTTTATGAGTGCTTTGAGGATTTGCACTGTGTAAAGTGAAGAACACGACTCCTAGGGAGTGTCCGAGCAGCAGCGGACACCGGTTAACATTACAAGTCGTGTGTTGTTCTGATTGCTGCAAGCAAATGCCTTGATGCTTTTTAAGTGTTGAGGGGAAAATTTAATAAAATTAAAAAAAATTGACCAGGATTGAGACAGAGGTGCAGTACTTCAAATGCAACATAGTCTGCTTCTGGGCGGCGGCTCAAGGGTGGATACAAGTGTCAACTTAAAAGCCTTAATTAAAAGTGGTGCAATTTTGTATAACCGAGCATCTGTAGTTTAATAAATTGGATTGCCATGCAAGGGCTCCCAAGAAGCCAGTTTTTGCCACTTGAATGTTTTGTGTATTGTTTCAGCATCTTCTGTCAGTCCAATAAAAACAAAACCCTTCAAGTTACTCTATCATGATGACACGTTTGCTGCAAAGGTATTATTATCTGTTTAACCTTTTAAGACCCGAGAAAAAAAGTTTTAGGAAAAAGTTTATTTAATATATATTTAAAAAAAAGATATTTCATTCATAAATTATGCTATGTCCTTGGTAGAGGACATCGGGACTCAATTTCTTTAAAAAAATAAAAAGACATGAATGGACATGCATAGGCAAAAACAATTGATTTTTTAAATCACCAATACATTTTTAGTTTTCAATATTTTTATTTTTATCAAACTTTGTATAAAGATGATTCTCAACTATGTTATAACAGAATGATTCAATATCCTATTTTTCTTTCTGCAAAATGTGTGTAAAATGGCCATAAACAGGTTTTCTCATTATATACAATGTATCTATAAACTAAATCTAATTTGCATATTAATGTGTTTTTGGGGCAACATGTAACGAAAAAACAAGTGTAATAATGGGAGTAATAATTGACAAGATTTTCATAATATAGAATATTTCATAGAATATAGAAATATAATTTCTTTCCCTGTTCATTTGTTATGTCTCCCAAAATAAGACATAACAATAAACATGCTTTTAGTCCCAGTGTCCTCGTATGAGGACTGTTCTGTTTCGTAACAGAAAGTCATATTTTGATTTGAAACCCCATAACATTTTCCTGAGATGTTGATTTATGACACACAGTTTAAAAATTTGACCGATTTAAATGATAATTAGAAAATAGTATCATATTTCCATAAGAGTGTCACTAAATTAATATCAGACTTATTTGAAGACCAAGGAGAGGGAGTGATCTTGGTGGGAACATCCAAACATTTAGTATCTCTGAAAAGCCCTGAATGTGCTCTGTACAGGACATCCAGAGTTATAGTGAAACATCCAAACATTTAGTATCTCTGAAAAGCCCTGAAGGTGCTCTGTACAGGACATCCAGACTGAAAACTGTGGCATGTACAGTCTCAGAGAAATACACCAAAATATAGTGTCCTTATATGAGGCCGCAGGGTCTCAAGAGGTTAAGACTGACCAGAACTGGAACTTATTCAAAATAAAAAAACAAACATATTATGTAGCCTACATGGCACAAGATTAGTTAGGTCTTATTTGTAGACAAACCTATGTAGTTTGCAAAATTTCAGAGCAACATTTTCATACATATACATATATACGTGTTTGTTTGTTTGTGTGTGTGTGTGTGTCCCTGGAACACAAAACCAGTCATAAGGGTACATTTTTGAATAAATAAGCTTTCCATTGATGTATGGTTTGTTAGGACAGGACAATATTTGGCCGAGATACAACTATTTGAAAATCTGGAATCTGAGGGTGAAAAAAAACATCAAAATATCGAGAAAATCGCCTTTAAATTGATCCAAATGAAGTTCTTAGCAATGCATATTACTAATGATAATACATTTTTGATATATTTATGGTAGGAAATTTACTAAATATCTTCATGGAACGTGATCTTTACTTAATATCCGAACGATTTTTGGCATAAAAGAACAAGCTGACCAAAAGGGGTTATGTTGTCACTTTAAATATCTTATTTCAGACTACTGAATGACTTTTCAATTAAACTTAAACAAGAAATCACGGTGAAAACTGCAGGAATCTCAAATGCAACACTGGCCAATATCATATTAATATCAAACCATTAGTTTGTCAAACAGACGCTGTAATCAACTTTAAAGTGTAAAGTCCTGACACTTAGCAACGACCATATATTTCATATATTTTAATATTAAACGTTATATTTTAGATTTTGAGGGAGATATAAACCTCCAGTACACGAGATGGCGCTGTGCTCTTGTTTGTTTTCCAGACTACATCCGAAAAACAAATAGAAGAAAAATACATGACATGTGGGAAACACAGAAACTGCTACTGTAGTTTTAAGAAGGATTTTGACTTTCTAAACGTTTGATATAATCTAATGAAAGCATGATATCGCAGAAACACGTGTGACACAAGTAACTTACGCGTTGTTTGCATTCGACCTCCGCTCGCAGTAAGAGTGCATTCTGAAAAAAATATGTGTTGAATTTCATTTGAACAGAACCGGTTTGATCATGAATCTCCGCGTTACTCTCGGGTGTTGTAGTAGAGTCCGGTTGTTTCGGAATAAGGCGACTGTCTACCTTTGCAGGAGACTGTCAGATGTTCCCATCTCAGCTGATGAGAAGCCCAGGAGAACACGGAGAGCTCCGGGGAAAGCGTCTGTCCTTCTGTTCCCCGGGCAGGGCAGTCAGTTTGTCGGTATGGGAAAAGGACTCCTGAAGTATGCAAATGTCAAAGAGATGTTTGCTGTAGCTGAGAAGGTGCTTGGCTATGACCTGCTGTCTCTGTGCTTAAATGGTCCCGAGAAAGATCTGATGAAGACTGTTCATTGCCAGCCAGCTGTGTTTGTTTGCTCACTGGCTGCTGTGGAAAGACTGAACCATGAAAATCCTGCTGTAAGTTACCCACAAGATCAGTGTGCAGCTAATCTGTTAGGACTGGCAGTGGCATGCATGTATGATTAATATGTGGTCAGTATTAATGTCAAACTCATTGACCCCCATCTAAAGGCTATTGAGAGCTGTGTGACTGCAGCAGGTTTCAGTGTTGGGGAATTTGCTGCTTTGGTCTTCTCTGGCGCAATGAACTTCGCTGAAGGTAAAGCTTGTTATTAAACATACTAAATTAGTTATTTAAATGGCATTTTTACAAGTGTGAAACATACCCGGATCACATTTATCCTTTGTGTGGATATTTTTAAAATTGTATTTTGCATTAAGAAAAACAAACAAAAAAACGATTTATTTATATTTGTATCATGACACTTCAGCACATTTTAACTCTACGATCGTGTAATTAGTTAAGACATTTCACTGTTATCGTTAACTAAAAACTAAAACAGACTATTACAGTCATTTTTGTTAATTGAAGCAAAGCTGACATCAAATACAAAAATATTAGATGACATAAATAGAAATAAATGTATTTATATTTCAGTTTTAGTAATCTTAGTACTTCAGCTTATTTTAAGTTAAATAGAATTTCAAAAAGAATCAGAATGGCAAGAGCACAACAAAATGGCTAAAACCTTAACTAAAATTATATAGCCTATATACACACATATACGTGTATTATTCTCATTATTATTCTTATTATCACCGTTATTCTCAAAGATAATTTTCATTACAAATAACTATTAATTTAATTTATTATTATAACTTCTAAATCGGCATAAATTAAAGGCAGTATAATAAATACTATCATGATGTTTGAGTACATCATCATACATATCATTGATTTTTAATGAGGTTTTTTTTCAATACCGTAAGAAGCATTGTAATAACAATTACCTCGCATTCCACAAAGTCTCAGCATACCTAAAAGTAGTCTTCTTTTTTATGCAAAATATTATTATTATTTTTTTTTTTGATTTTGGGGTAAAATGTAACCTGAACATCTTACTGACAGTTATTAGAAGATTCACCCACATTAATTTATCATAATGGTCCTGTTCTCTGCTCACAGCTTTGTTTGCAGTAAAGGTGAGGGCAGAGGCGATGCAGAAGGCCTCTGACCTAGTATCTAGTGGCATGTTGTCTGTGATTGGCCAACCTCAGGCCAAGTACAAATACGCCTGCGTCCAAGCTAGGGAGCACTGTTTGTCTCTCGGTATCCAAGAACCTGTGTGCGCCATTGCCAACTACCTTTTTCCAGATGGGAGAGTAATAGCTGGCCACAGAGAGGTAAGAATCCATACAAAGAGCTTTGTTCATGTGAAATATTTTAGGTGTGTTGTTTTGTCTATTGAAGTTGGGTCAACTTTACTGAATCATTTACAATAAGACCAGAAATATGCTTTAAAAAAAAGTAAATTTTGAGTTCATGTTGATTTTCTGAAAAGATGAAGTCCAGACTGTTAAGCCCTGCTGTGCTTTTAACAATCAGTCTCCCACACAGGCTTTGGATTTCCTTCAAAACCATTCCAGAGAGCTGAACTTCATGAGAACACGACTACTGCCGGTTAGCGGGGCCTTTCACACGGCAATGATGGAGCCAGCGGTCGAGCCTCAAAGAGACGTCCTCAGAAAGATAGAGGTACGGCGGCCAGAGATCTGTGTGCACTCCAATGTGGACGGCAAGCGTTACATGCATGACAAGCACGTACGCAATCAGCTGGCCAAACAGCTGGTGTCTCCGGTGAAATGGGAGCAGACGCTACATGAGATTTATGAAAGAGCCCAGGGGCAGGAGTTTCCTCACACCTATGAGGTGGGACCTGGTAGACAATTGGGCTCAACGCTACAGAAGTGCAACATGAAAGCCTTTAAGAACTATACGCATGTAGATGTTGTTCTGCCATAGGACTGATCAGTGATTTGCAGTAAAATTGTTACATTTGGTTTTCTTCTTTCAGATAAAAACAAAAAAAGCCAAACACTTTGTTTTCGTTTGAAAATTTTTATTGCGCTTGTTGGTTTGGATAGTCCAGCTTCCTTTAGTAGTAGAGAAATGCTTTTAGAGGAAGAGGTGACTATTCATTGGCCCAATTATCCAGCAACAGACCCAAAACACACACACACACAAAAAACTATCTTTGACTTGCAAACACCTGCACATATATGAACTTATATATGTGAACCAGCACTTCATTCAAATCAGTTATAAAAGAGAATGCAAAATAAGCTGTTTTATAAAAAAAAAAAAAAAATCAACCTTGGTTACATTTGAGCCAAAGACCAGCTCTTGACCCTCTCAGTGTCACCATTCAGCCTTCATATTCATTCCAAGTTATTAGGAAGATAGACACAGTGACCAGAAGTAAAGCAGACGCTAGTGTGCATGTGGTGCTGCGAGACCAGTCAGGAACGTGTAAGTTGGATACCTGAGAAAAGAAAACAAAAAAAATGTAAGTTTCACTTAAATACCAGGGTTGCCACTGTCAAACCTGACCTGAAAATATATAAAAAAAATTAGTGTACATTTTTTAAGCCTAAAGAAATTCATTGAAATTAACAAAATCCTAAACAAACAATGAAATTTCTGTAGTAAACATATTTTATAGTTATTCATGGCTCAATAAGTATGTGGCTAGAAATTGGGCTTTGTGGGTGCAATTATTCTTTACAAATCCTTAAAAACAGACAGAAAAGTAATTAAAAAAAATACATTCAAAACTGTGGAAACACTCAAATACTGACTTTAAATGCACTAATGTTCAAAAGTTTGGGGTCAATAGGATTACATTTTTTTTTAAAGAAATTAATACTTTTATTCAGCAAGGATGTGTTTAATTGATCAAAAGTGACAGTAAAGACATTTAAAATAATATTCTATTCCAAATAAATACTGTTCTTTTGAACTTTCTATTCATCAAAGAATGTTGTGGTTTCCACAAAAATATTAAGCAGCACAACTGTTTTCAATATTGATGGTAATAAGTTATTTTAAATGATAATAATATTTTGAATGTTCAAATAAATGCAGCCTTGGCTTACCCAAGATCCTTACATATTTACAGACCCCAAATAAACATTGTCCTTACACAGGATGCCCACTTCTTGGCCTCCTGACAGCCATTTTGAAGCTGTGAAACCAGCCAGGATGTCCTCAACATTGGCATAATTTTGGACCCCCAGACGTTGCCGAAGATCCTGCTCAAGACAGTTTCATTATTATAAGCATGAATAGAAATTAAACCACTCGTAACCCTTTCATGTTATTCAATATCTTCATCTGAAACATCCTAAAGCTTATGTTCATGTTGGGGGGGGGTAAATGCTCTCAACTCACCCAGCAAACGCTCTCCTGGTTAGGGCATAAGAATAAATCCCAAAATTCAGGGGCCACCACAATTGGACAGGCAGTTGTTCACGCCATTTGTAGTCCAACTGGTCCCCTATCTGAGCCAGCTGGCGTCCAATAAGCTGGGAAACTCTTGATATTCAGACCAAAAAAGACTTGTGTGTAAAATACTGTATTGTATTTTACAATATAAATACTTCTGATCAAAAGATTACCTCATGTTGATGGTATAGAGAGTGTTGTGGTCTACCTCACCAGGTCCAGCCTGGAGGGATGTGGCGTTTCTCCGCTGTGGGGTTTAGAGATGCTAAATGTTTAGAGCATTTAGCATCTCTAAATGCTCTCAACTCACCCAGCGAACGCTCTCCTGGTTAGGGCATAAGAATAAATTCCAAAATTCAGGGGCCACCACAATTGGACAGGCAGTTGTTCACGCCATTTGTAGTCCAACTGGTCCCCTATCTGAGCCAGCTGGCGTCCAATAAGCTGGGAAACTCTTGATATTCAGACCAAAAAAGACTTGTGTGTAAAATACTGTATTGTATTTTACAATATAAATACTTCTGATCAAAAGATTACCTCATGTTGATGGTATAGAGAGTGTTGTGGTCTACCTCACCAGGTCCAGCCTGGAGGGATGTGGCGTTTCTCCGCTGTTTCGTTTCTTCCACCATCGTGTTCTGAAAGGTGTGCCATCATGTTTATGAAACTAATTCAACTGTCTCTTGCATCACATTTAGCCCTCCATTTGCCTAAATTCCATTTTCTATTTCCTTTCTCTGCTGCGGTTCTTTATTTTGTTTGTGTGGAGGAAGAGGACTTTGTTATTGCGTCCTGCTCTTTATGGTCTCACGTGACCTGATCCTGCAGCTATTGCTTTCAACGAATTCTGTCACTCTGTAAACACACAGGCTATGTGACCTGAGGACACTGGGTGTGTCTTTGTCTGTTGCTGCCATAGAACATGACCTCATTGCACGTACAATCAAGTTTCGAAAAACACCTGTAGCCATAAACACAACTTCCTGCAATGCTAGAGGACTCTGGTCTCGGTGGTAATAAAAAATGGAAGGACACAGATATGCACAGCTCACAAAGCACCATAAAAGCTGACTCAGTGCTCGTTGATGTTATGAAAGAGTATGTGATTAAAATACATTTTGATTGTTTATAGTATAAATAATCAACACATTTATCATTTATGAGGGTCTAGTAAGAGAAAGCAAACGTGTTTTCATTCTCCTTCATGTGACTGTTGAAAACATCAGGTTTGATGCAAATGCTCATTCAAATCAGCCAAACTGCTCAATGGCGAACAAACTGATTTTTTTTTTTAACAATTACATATATGTATATTGTACATGTATATTGATGTAAAACCTAAAACGGAGTGTGAATAATGTTTTTTTTGTGTAATAATGCAGACTATTATGTCAAAATAAACTGTGACGCAGAAATTTCTGGAGACTTCAGTCATCATCCCGAGACCAGGAAAACCTCAAAAATAATTTGAAATAATCCTAATTTTGGATTTTTACATTTCTAAAAGCTTTCTTTACCACTTAATCTGAACTTTCACATCAAAAACATTTTTCATTTAAATATAAGGCCATCTTTATATATCTACAAAATACTAGTTTGTATCCTCAAGCTTGCAGCTGAATGTTTTCAAGATTTTTTAATATATAACTATTTGTATGTTTCATTGTGAATTTATTTACTGTCTGCGCCCAACATGTTCCCATTTGGCTTGATAACAAAAGACAGGTGCATAATGGAAAACAAAAGAAAGATCATACCTTGTTTGTAGATTAAAATGGACGCCGCCCTGCAACATTTTAATATATAATTTTAATATAAGGCAAATTTGTTAGTATTTGTAGTAATAGTATAATAAATATTTTCTCATACTTACAGCAGCGTCCTTTAATCTCGGTCTCTTCCTGTGATGTGTCTCAGTACAGTGATCACCTGCAGCCACACCTGCAGCTTTACAGTCAGGAAGCGATATCACTTTCATTTCTGGCCAATAGAGGACACTAAAGGGACTGATATCACTACTACATTCATTCATTAAACACAGATCTAAACCATTTAGATGCATGAGCTCATGTCTTAATTCAGTCTGCTGGGCCAAAAAGCAGGCATAGCGGATCTGGACCTTTCTTACATTTCAAAAACCCAATCTCCTTTCTCTCTCTGGTAAGCATTGAGATGTGCTCAGTAATGGCCGGTGTACTTTTGTTTCATTCATTCACCTTAATGTATACAACGCCACCTGGCTGTTCTGCTGGTAAATACAATTGGTTCATTTATTCTTGTTCTCTCTCTCCCTCCCGCGCTGTATTCTGCCCGTTGCCATGCTGCTTTACTACTTAACGTTACATGAGATCGTTCACGTTAGTATCAGTATCAACCTCACATCAATATCAAGTCTTATTTAAGCACAATGTTTTATCGATTATGTAAGTATAATGGCCACGAATCGATACAGGCTGCACGGAGTAATATTTTATAAAACTCTATCGTTACTCAGATTAGTCAGTCTGTTGATAGGTTAAAATCAAAACGTTTCTGTATTAATACCTAATGAAGGTCAAAATAAACTATTAATTTGTCTTTTTTTCCCGTGTAGACAATGATATGCAGGGTACGGATGGGCCGTTAGGTGGTCCTGATGTCAGGAGGAGGATCCCAATCAAACTTCTTCCCAAACAGGCCAGGAATAAACCTGCCCCACGACCCCAAAGACCAGTGGGACGGTTACCGTCCAAAGCCCATTCTGGAGAGGAAGGTATTGTGTCTATATTTTTCTTTTCAAATAGTTTGTATATTGCATTTTTCACAAGCATATGATTAGATATTATGATACACTGCAAATGGGGCTTTTTTCTGACCTGTGTTTCTGCTAGAAGGGTTGAATTTCAAGCAGGAGGACCGATTTGATTTTGGCGTGAAAGCTGGAGACGCATTTGCGAGCCAGCGTCGGTTCCCACAGCAGCTGTACTGGGATTACAAGGTAAAGGCTACATTGTATAAGAGTAATTTACCCACCTCTCAGATGCTGCTTATGTTAAAGAGTTGTGATCTCTCTCTCTCTCTCTCTCTCTGTGTGTTTTTCTAGCTAAATTTGATCGGTGAAAAAGATGAGACACCTGCTCATTTCTGTGACAAATGTGGACTGCCAATTAAGGCATACGGCCGTATGGTGAGAATAGTTGACGTTTATAATGAATGCATACAATCTGCAAGTGACAGCTTTTTTGGTGACAAGTTAATATTACCATGACTTAATTCATTAATTTCTTTCCAGATCCCATGTAAGCACGTTTTCTGCTATGAGTGTGCATTACATCATGAAAGGAAGGGTGATAAGATGTGTCCAGGGTAAGAAGCAGCAGTTTTTGTCTCTACAAATACAGACTTGTACAATCTTTCTATACTATAATAGAGAATAATTAATATCTTGATGCAGATATATGGCTGGTTGATACACACTACCATTCAGAAGTTCAGGGTTGAGATATTATTTCTTTTATTCCACAAGAATGCAATTTAATTGATCAAAAGTGACACTAAAGACATTTATAATATTACAAAAGATTTCTATTTAAAATAAGATGATAATAAGAAATCTTTCCTAAGCAGCAAATCAGCATTTTAAAATATATAAAACTAAGCAATTATTTTAAATTGTAATAAGATTGCACAATATGTCTCTTTTTTACCGTATTTTTGATCAAATAAATGCAGCCTTGGTGAGCAAATTATATCTTAAT